AAGGAACTGAGGCTCCTTCCCCAAGACCCCCTTCCTCACCCCCAGACCGACACCCACACCCCCAAACACCCAGCACAGAAAACCTGATGAGTCTCCTCTCTAGGCCTCTCCCCTACCTGGTTGCTGGGTCTCCCGCAGGGCCGCTGGGGCGCGGTGTCACAGGGCACTTAGGTCAGAGTTATAATTAACTCAGGACGAGTGGAGGGGGAGGGAGGCCCCGGCAGGATGGGGGCAGGCCAGACAGCCCCTGGCCCCTCTACTCGTGCCCGCCCGAGGCCACAAGCTGCAGCCGGCACCAGGGCGGGGCTCCCTCAGCAGCAGTGCAGAGGTGAGTGGAGAAGAGCTGGGAGGAGGAATGAGTGAGCAACATGACTCAGGCCTGGCTCAGCGCCAGGGACAGACCCAGGCAGACGCACCTCTCTGCCCACCCGGCGCCTCTTGCTCAGCCTGCCGCCCTTCCACTACCTTCCCAGACACGGGCCCTCAGTGCCCCTCCCCGGCACCACCACACACAGACAAGAGATGATTTTGTGGCAAAATATTTTATTGCTGCCACCCCCATGGCGGACTGCTGGGGGTTATGAGGGTCAGAGTCGGGTGCATCACAGCATCTTCTGAAATAGCGCGATGGCCTCGTCCACCTTCCTGAGCTCTGCTTCTGTCTGCTGGAGCTGGGGGTGGAACAAGGGAGAGGGGGTGGTGGGTGGTGAGGATTCAGGCCCAAGAGAGACCTCCAAATGCTCGCGATGGCAGAGGGGTCCCAGTTGGAAAGATGGGTGGGGACCGCAGCAGGGAGTAGTTTGGGGACTGTGTGAGCTCGGCTGGCCTGTTCCCTCCAAATTCTCACCAACCTCCCCATCAGCACCCACCTTCCCCTCCATCATCACTGGCCTCTCAGGTCTTGCCTTTTGCCAGAGTGGTCAGTCCCCCAAAACGAAGGAGCCCATGTGCCCTAGCCGGCAGCCCGACCCCCAGCTGGACGGCAGCACACAGGGGTTAGGGACGCAGCTTCCCAGGCAGGCACTGGGCCTTCATTTGTAAAATGGCAATGGGACACCCCCTGCCCTGAGCAGGTTTCCGGGAGATTGGACTGAGCCCTGCTCAGCGACCAAGGCTCCGTAACGCAGCCTCTGCTCATTTCTCTCTGCGTCCATGTGGTTCACCCCACTGCTCCTCCCTGGAGAGATCCCAGGTGAGCCCGCCAGGCTTCCTGGCTGTAAGTGGTCCTGAGACCAGCACCAGGCACTCAGGATGTTCTGGGCACTGGGTGGGGCACGAGGGCTCTGGCTGGGAGGCAGGATACCTGGTTCTAGGTCTGTCTTCACCTTGCTTGTGTGACCTTGGGCTGTGCCCCTGCTGCTGACCGTTTCTCATGTAAGAGGAGGGATTACGTGGGCCCCGCCTATGCAAGGGGCCCGGGCGGCCTGCTCCCCCATGGCTGCCCAGGGCTGGGCCTGATGATGGAGGGGGCAGACGGTGTGGGCAGTGGAGAAGGAATGCCCACCCACACCACACACCTTGACTTTGTCTGCCTCCTGGACGTCAAGGGGCACCTTCGTAGGGTAGTTCGAGGCAGCGCGGCGCTCCCGCAGACGCTGTGCCTGCCGCTGTGCCTCACCACGCTTGGCCTGCAGCTTGCCCAGCTCCCGGGCCGGGTCCACCAGTCCCTGCAGCTGCAGGTGGACGGAGCAGCGGTCAGAGGCCAGGGCCACAGCACAGCCCTGTGGCGCGGGAGCCCCCAGGGCCAGGACAGCCACCACGCCCGCGCTGGCCAGCGCCTGCACGTAGCCTGACACAGCCGACGCCAGAGCGCCCGTGGCCTCATCAGTCACTTCTAGGAAACCTGCGGGGAGGGAGGAAGGTGAGATGTGGCCCCCAGGAGACGCGAGAGGAGGCAACCACGTCGGACAAGGGTCCCAGAGTGGACTGAGGGGCCAGTGGGACGAGGTGGCTCACAGTCAGGCCGGATCCGGGTGAGGTTGTAGTCGGCACGCAGGGAGCGCACAGCTCGTGTGATGCTTAGGGCCAGTTCCATGGCAGCTTCTGCCTCAGGGTCCTTCCAGGAGCACTGTGGGATGGGAGAGGGGGTGAGGGAGGCAGGGGGGCAGGCCAGAGCCCCCCTCTAGGCTACACCCCATACCTCCGAGGGCTCCGGATAGGAGGTAATACAGAGGCTAGGCGGAGCTTGTAGTGTCCGCCGGGGCAGCCTCTGGAACAGCTCCTCGGTCACGAAGGGCATGAAGGGTGACAGCAGCCGCAGGCCAACGTCCAGGCAGGTATAGAGGGTCTGGCGAGCACACTCGGCCACCACCTGGTCCACCCCATTCAGCACGGGCTTCAGGCACTCCTAGGGGACCAGGAAGCACAGAGCACGAGGCTTAGGGACGGAAAAGGCCCAGCCTGCAGCCCTCACTGTGCCTGTGAGGACCAGGAAGGGGACAGGTTGGCTCAGGTCTCGTGGCCAACCACTGGCAACGTGAGGTCCAGGGCTCTGCCGCCCCCCACCCGTCTCTCAGCTCCTCCTCACCAGGTAGACATCACAGAGCTCATAGAGCCAGAAGCTGTACTGGGCAGTGGTGACAGCTGGGAAATCATAGGCCTGGAAACCTTGGTTGCTGAGCCTCACGGCCTCAGTCAGCCGGCTGCGGATCCAGCGGTCCACCAGGCTCTCATGGCCTCCAGGCTTGGGAAGAAGAGGCGCATCAGAGAGGAAGTACCATGAGCCCAGGGGGAAGGAGGCAGAAACCCATGGGCGGCAGGAACCATGGGCAGATCGGCATTCCAGCAGCCTGATACGTCTGAAGCAACCACCATGTGCCCAGCATCTGGAGGAAAAAGGACCCCCACCCCCTTCTCGGAGGACCCCGATGCTCAGGCTTTCCCTGTATCTATCTGTCCCGCCTGTTGCAGGAAGGCTCCTCCGGGGCAGGTGCTGGGCCTCCTGACTCAGTGGCTACAATCGCGACACAGCACGGACCATGCTCGATGCCTGAGCGGCAGACAAGCTGCCTGTGTGGGTGCTGCCCACCCTGCCGCCTACCAGGCCCTCACCTCAGAGGTGGGTGACGGCACAAAACCCTTCCCAAGGCCACGCAGGGCAAACTTTGTGGCGTTCCAGAGCTTGTTGCAGAAGTGGCGGTATCCCAATATCCGGTTCACATCCAGGTTGATGTCGCGACCTGGGTGGGTGTGAAGTGTGACTCCTCACTATTCTCCCTCCCAACTCGTGCCCATGGCGAAGGAGAAGGGTGGGCTCAGGGAAGGAGGAGGGACTCAGTGAAGAGGTTTTGGAGGCCATACCCTGGGACGTGTAGGCACACAGTCCAAACCGGAGGGCATCGGTGCCGCACTCGGGAATCCCCGCCGGGAAGTCTGCCTTCTGTGGGGAGGAGTCAGTCGGGGGCGTCCTGAGGCAGCCTCACCTACCTCAGCCCACACTGTAGCCCCAGAGCCCGTCCTCGGTACCTGCCCTTCTTTAGCCTTCTCCACCTCACTGGGATCCAGGTTGCTGTTCAGTAACTGGTCGTGGAGGCCCTGAGGGTGAGGTGGGAGCGGTCAGGGGGCCGTGGCCACAGCCCCACAGCCCTTCCCGGCCCGGCCCAGGGCACAGCCCCACCTGTAGGGAGACTCCGTGGATGACGTCCAGGGGGTCGATGACGTTGCCTAGAGACTTGCTCATCTTTCGGCCATGGGCATCTCGCACGATGGCGTGGAGGTAGACCTGACAAGCAAGGGCAGGGAAGGCCCATGACAATGTGTCTCCTCACCCACACCACAATGCCTGCCGGGGCCCTGCATCCGGTCTGCCCCGTTCTGGACCTCAGGCCCCCACGGTACCCCTGCCAGTGCATTTGGCACTTTCATGGGAATTAGAGGCGCTCCCTCATCTAGGAAGCCATGGCACGGAATCACTGAGTGGAACCCGGGCTGGCTTTCAGTCCCCACAAGCCCTCCCTGGCTAGGCCCACCCACAGCTGTCCGTGGGCTGTGCTGTGTCCCCATGTGTGCTGAGCCTGAGCTGTGGCACAGGAGGGTGGGTGATGGTAGGGACTGTGGGAAGGGTGTCGGCAGTCTTATCACCTCTCTGAAAGGCAGCTTGCCAGTGAGCTTCAGGCCAAGCATGACCATCCTGGCCACCCAGAAGAACAGGATGTCATGGCCCGTCTCCAGCAGCGTCCCCGGGTAGAACACATTCAGATCTTCTGACTGGGGGCAGAGCAGGGCATGATGGGGAGCCAAGCACCCACCTCCAAGACCATCATTCCACCCTGGGCTGGTCCCCCAGGAACATACGTGGTTGGGCCAGCCCAGGATGGAGAAGGGGAAGAGGCCAGAGGAGAACCAGGTGTCCAACACATCCTCATCTGAGGGAGGCCAAAGGTCAGAGATCAGAGGGGACACAGATGAGGATCAGAACCCCAGCTCTGCCCTTCACCCCCAAGGCCCTGACTTGCCTTGCCGGAGACTGATCTCGTCAGGGGACACTCCAAATTCCTTGGCTGCCTTCTCCCGGGCCTCGGCCTCGCTGCGCCCGCTCACCCAGTACCGCCCATCAGGGTCCTGCCAGAGGTAGGGTGAGTGCCAAGGGGGTCCCTCTGCCTTGCCCTGACCCCTCCCCCCAGCAAGGACCCCACAGACCCACAATTCCCTGAGATGTGCCAGTGTCCAGCTCTGGCCCAGTTCTCACCTCCCCTGGGGGCACAGCTGGGTCACTAACTGTGATGAAGTAGGCTGGGATGCGATGGCCCCACCACAGCTGCCGGGAGATACACCAGTCCCTGCAAATGGTGGGGGGCAGGGGGATTAGGGGGAAGGGACGTGAATCAGGCAGGGGGGGGGAGGTGCCCCGGCCTGTGCCCTGCTTAGCCTCTCACCCAATCACCCTCCCACATCCTGACGCACCGGATGTTGTCCATCCAGGCGTGCCACGTCCGTTGATGGGCCTCAGGTAGGATGCGGAGGTCACCCCGTGTCACAGCAGCACTAGCGGCCTGGGCCATCTCCCCACAGCGCACGTACCACTGTGGCCGCAGGAGAGGCTCCACCACGTCCTTGGACCGGCTGTGAGAACACACGGGTGGGAGATCAAGAGGTGAGCACCCTGAGGAGCCCCTCCCCTGCCCTCTTCCCAGGCCCCCGTCCTCACTTGCAAAGCGGCACCACCATGGGGTTGTCCTCAATGCCTCGGAACAGTCCCCGCTCCTTCAGTGCCGCCAGCACTGCCTTCCTGGCCTCAAACCTCGGTAGGCCCTGGGTATGAGACAGGCCTCATCACGGCCATGCCTACGTACCCCACCGTCTCTCGACCTGGCCACCACACCCCAGGTAGTCTCACCAGGAAAGGCGGGGGCACGTTGATGAGGGCCCCTCGGGAGTCCATGATGCTGATGGCCTCCAGCCCGTGCCGCTGCCCGACTTCATAGTCATTCTGGTCATGTGCGGGGGTGATCTTCACTGCACCTGGGGTGTACGTGGGGGTGCCGGGGTCACGAGGACTCAGTGGAGTCTCTATACACACCCTCTTTTGCTGAAAGATGTGGCCCCCAGACCACCCTTGTCTCCCACCTTTCGAGTACAGCCCCCTGAAACCCAGCCCAAGTCCTGCTGGTTTAGGAAAAGCTTCTTCTTTTTCTTCCAAGGGGAAGATGAATGACCAAAGGGTGCCTCCTTCTCTCTCCAGAGGACAGCCCCCGGCTCACCTGTGCCAAACTCCATGTCCACAAAATCGTCAAAGACGATGGGGAGGCTCTGAGACGAGAATGGGTGAATCACGCTCCTCCCCTTCAGGTGCTGGGGGCAGAGGGAGACATCAAAAATTCAAGAAGGCAAAAGCAAACAATAAATCATTTCAAAGATGAAAAAAAATTCAAAACAGGCTGGACCCAATTCCTCTTACCCAGGTCCCTGATTGTCCCAACACCCAGGGCCAAAAAGGAGCTGAAAATGAGTTTCTGATGCAATTTTCTCTCAGCCAAGAGGCTGAGCGCCCATCCCAACCTCATTCACAGTGTAGGAGCCCCTTCCAACCAGCACTCCTCCCCAGCTGTGGGCAGCACCCCTGCCACACCTGGTATCTCGGGTCTTTGGGATGCACAGCTACGGCCACGTCTCCCAGCATCGTTTCAATCCGAGTTGTCGCCACTACCACCTCCTCATCACTGTCTAGGGTGACACGAGGACTTGTGGTCTCAGCTCTGGCCCGTTCTCACCTCGTACCTCACCCAGCCCGGGACCCTGATGCCCCTGGCTCCTACCTGAGCCTTGGACCTTGTAGGCAAAGGAGACAAGGACCCCAAACTCCACCTTCTCCTTGTAGCCAGGCACGGAGAGCAGAGTGCGACCTGTCAGCTCCTTCTTATCCACCTGTGAGATGGGTGTTAAATAGCCAGGGAGCTGGAGTGGGGGCGCGGAGATGGAGAGAGCCTGGGGTGGGGGTGGGGACACACCTCGATGTCGGAGATCGCAGAGTTGAGGGTGCAGGACCAGTTGACGAGACGGGTGCTGCGGTAGATGACTCCTTCCTCATGGAGCCGGACGAAGGCCTCTGTCACAGCTGCTGAGAGTTTCTAGGGAGCAGGGGGAGTCACGCATGGGCCCAGGTGCCTAGGGACCCAGGCAGACTTGCCAAAGCAGTGGGATCTGGCGAGACTTGGGCTGTCCAGAGTCCCACCGTCAGCACACAGACCCCTTTGAGGGCTAGAGGGCAGAAGTATTTTTCTTGAGGAGGAGAGAGAACTACGGGAACACAAAGGCAGGCAACAAGCCTGAAGACTCTGAAGATGGCAGGGAAGCCACTCAGCTAGGGACAGGTGCTGGTGAAGAGAATCCTGGGAGTTCAGGCTCCATAGGAGAGTGAGGCCCCAAATGTGTGCCACCTGAAAGAATGTGAGCTCCCAGACTGGGTGACAAAGGGCCATGATAAGGGGCAAGAAGTGGTATTTGCAGCTGAGCCCTTAGTGGTTTCCTATGAGCAGTGGGCTCCCCTCCTAGGGGAAGGGTGCTCTCTTCTGTGGGTGCTCTGGGAGCTTCCCTGTCCTGCCTCAGCCCCAAGACCCCTCCTACTCACAGGGTCCATGGTGAAACAGGCTCGATTCCAGTCCAAGGAGCTGCCAAGCTTCTTCAGCTGGTGGTAAATCCGGTCACCCTTCCTGGAAATGGACAAACAGGCCGGGATCAGCACTCAGGCCTGGGCTGGAGAGAGACACTGAGCAGCTGATGGGGTATTTTCACCCGTCCCTCGTCCCTCTGAAAATGACCTGGGCCCCAGAGCCCACTGACCCTCAGCCTCCATGAGGGTCTGGCTCTGCAGCCATGGCCGGAGGCTACAGAGATCTTATCTGGACAGGGGGACAGGAGTGGGGGGGGGGGGGGGCTGCATACTCACTCCTCTTTCCACTTCCAGACCTCCCGTAGGAAGGCCTCTCGGCCCAGCTGGTGCCGGCTCAGCCCCCGTTCGCGCCAGAGTTTCTTCTCCACGACCACCTGAGTGGCAATGCCAGCGTGGTCACAGCCAGGGTTCCACAGGGTGGTCTCCCCTCGCATGCGGTGCCTATGGGAAGAACACGAGGACCCAAGGGGGAGTGGGCTGGTGGACCTGGCATCAAAGGAAGAAGGGGCTCCTGGGCAAGGAGTCAATGGACTCAGGAAAGAAAGGGGCCCAATTCTAAAGTTATAGTCAGGGAGGGGCGCCTGGATGGCTCAGTCAGTTAGGTGTCCGACTTCAGCTCAGGTCATGATCTCATGGTTCATGGGTTCGAGCGCCATGTTTGGCTCTATGCTGACAACTCAGAGCCTGGAGCCTGCTTCGGATTCTGTGTTTCCCTCTCTGCCCCTCCCCCACTCGTGCTCTGTCTCTGTCTCTCAAAAATAAATAAATGTTAAAAAAAAAAAAAATTTTTTTTTAAATGTTCTAGTCAGGGAGCAATGTGCAAGGACAGCCAGAGCAATCTGGCAAAAGAACAAAGAAACAAAGACGCTCTTGCCGTATGAGAAAGTTATGATTATTAAACAGTAAGTTACTAAAAAATAAATAAATAAATAAATAAATAAAAATAAACAGTAAGTTACTACATAGAAACAAAGTTACAGATAAAGGGAACCAAACCGGGTCTAGAAACAGACGCAAGCACATTCAGTGTTTGTCAAAAGTCGCATTTCTTATCAGTAGGGAAAGGATGAGCTACTGAATAAGTCTGTTTAGGACAGCTAGCTAATTAGTTCCCTACTTCCCAACACTCAACAACGATAAATTCTAATCAGACTGATGAACTCAACACTATCAGAAAAGCATTAGAAAAAAATAACACACTTTTCAAACTAAAAAAAAAGACCAAGACACAGATGAGACTGTGACTCGGAGGTAAGAGAGGGCTTTGTTAACACGACGCAAAGATAAAGCTAAAGAACACTGACAAATCAACTAGACCAAAATGTAAAAATCTCAGAATAAGACCCCTAAGTAAAGTTAAAAAGCAAGTGATAGGCCATTTAGGGGGAAGTGACTAGAAGCTAATAACACATTAGGGAACTAATCAGGAGGTGAATTAGAGAAAATAGAGTAGCATTGCAGGGCTACATCTGCCACGCTCTGGTTCAAGTTCGTGCAGCTTATGCTCAAGCTCTCTGCTGATGTGGCACATAAAGCCATTAAATTCCAATGACCTTTTCTGTGACCTTTTCGAACTAAGCACATTAAAGTGGGGAGAGGAAATTATTATATAAACAGAGGCAACTGGGTGGCTCAGCCCATTCAGCTTTTGACTCTTGATCTCAGGTTCAAACCCTGCGTTGGGCCTGGAGCCTCCTTAAAAATAATAATAATGAAATAAAATAAAATAAAGATATTAAAAAAATAACAAAGAAACACTACCTATACATCACTTTCAAAGACTCATCAAACTATATTATATTCATTACTTTACAATCTGATCATCCCCACTACAGTTAGATCTCCTTGGGTCCTTGGGAATAGGGACTAAAGCGACTCCATTCTCCTGAGCTCTTCGATCCTCAAAGTGTTGGTTAAACGTGTATTGGATACAGGGCGCCTGGTTGGCTCAGTCGGCTAAGCGTCTGACTTCAGCTCAGGTCATGATCTCGCGGTCTTCGAGTTTGAGCCCCTCATTGGGCTCTGTGCTGACAGCTCAGAGCCTGGAGCCTGCTTTAAATTCTGTGTCTCCCGGGGCGCCTGGGTGGCGCAGTCGGTTAAGCGTCCGACTTCAGCCAGGTCACGATCTCGCGGTCCGGGAGTTCGAGCCCTGTGTCGGGCTCTGGGCTGATGGCTCAGAGCCTGGAGCCTGTTTCCGATTCTGTGTCTCCCTCTCTCTCTGCCCCTCCCCCGTTCATGCTCTGTCTCTCTCTGTCCCAAAAATAAAAATAAACATTGAAAAAATAAATTCTGTGTCTCCCATTCTCTCTGCCCCTCTCCTGCTCATGCTCTGTCTCAAAAATAAAAACATGTACTGGATACAAATATGTTTTATGAAATCTGGTATTTGTTAGGTATTACCAAAGAAGTAAAGCATAACAAATGAAAATACAAAGAATAGGGGCGCCTAGGTGGCTCAGTAGGTTGAGCGTCCGACCTCGGCTCAGGTCATGATATCGCGGTCTTGTCTGTGAGTTCGAGCCCCGTGCTGGGCTCTGTGCTGACAGCTCAGAGCCTGGAGCCTGCTTTGGATTCTCTGTCTCCCTCTCTCTCTGCCCCTCCCCTGTTCATGCTCTGTCTCTCTCTGTCAAAAATAAAATAAACATTAAAAAAAAGAAAACACAAAGAATATTTTACTAAAAGCATTTCTCAGGGTTTGTATAAAGTTGACCAAAAAAAAAAAAAAAAAAAAATCAGTAAAATGTCATAGGTATTTGCATGAAAGTACCCTATTCTCTGCTGGGGAGAAAAAGAAAAAATATAGATATACAACCCACTTTTATTAATAATGTTTTGTTGATGGAAATATTTAATGTTGTGTTTCATGTGTTATTTTTTTTTTTATTTACATTTATTTATTTTTGAGAGACAGAATGAGACAGAGCATGAGTGGAGGTGGGGCAGAGAGAGGAGACACAGAATCTGAAGCAGGCTCCAGGCTCCAAGCAAGCATTCAGCACAGAGCCCAATGCGGGGCTCAAACCCATGAACCACGAGGTCATGACCTGAGCCGAAGTCGGACACTTAACCAACCGAGCCACCCAGGCACCCCTGTTATTTTTGATTCTAAAATGTTGATAGAAATCTATTCCATTTAAGTAAATGGGAGTTTCTAACATTTTATTTAGGCCATGTTCATTAGAAAAAAGGCTGCTATCTTAAAAGTTCTTTTTTTTAATGTCATTTGCTTCTTTTTTTTAAGTTTATTTCTTTATTTTGAGAGAGAGAGAGAGAATGTGAGCGGGGGAGCAGAGAGAGAATCCCAAGCAGGCTCTGCCCTGTCAGTGTAGAGCCTGACTCAGAGCTGGATCCACCCAGGGGCCCCACCTTAAAAAGTTTTCTAAGAAGTGTTCATTCTTTTCTAGTGTTACTAAGTTGACTGTTGTATGTTACATGTATTTAACACAACTCTGTATTTTCAGCTTTCAATTCCTCACAAAATTCTAAATCTGATGTTGTATCCCTAGTGCCCAGAGCACAGCTGGCACATCGTGATGCCTGATAAGTACTCCCAACCAGATTAAGTTAGTAAATAAGACTCCAGAAAATTTTCTCAGAACTTAAATTAAAATTAAATAAACCCTGGCTTCTAAAGATAAAAAAGTTGTTTTAAAATACTTTTCTAGGGGCGCCTGGGTGGCGCAGTCGGTTAAGCGTCCGACTTCAGCCAGGTCACGATCTCGCGGTCTGTGAGTTCGAGCCCCGCGTCGG